AACCGTGCAATCTTATAAAGGGCCTTAATAACTTGTCAAAACCTGTATACCTAATAATAAAATTGATACTAAAAGTTTGTTTTTGAATACTTAAGAGGTTTTGAGATTTGGTTTTTCAATGATTTCTTAATGGTCATCATATATTTTGTAACACATTTCAGGGAAAATATACAATGAAAGCCGTAGGTGCAACCAAGTATTTGTGTGGGCCATCCAAAAGAAAAGAATTGGTGTAAACCATCTCTGAGTACAATAGAAAACGCTTGCAGTAAACTCGGGGTTGATAGGGACAACAACTGTCATTGGGAAGTTTTAGGACCTCTATCTGTTGGAAATGTCCAAATGCTGAAAGAACATTATCCGATGTGTGAATATTTTGATATACAAGAATTGCAATTGTGGTGGTAGACCCTGACAAGTAAAGAGGCCAAAAATGATAAACATAAATGACCGACCAAGCCCTTTGGTTCCTCTTCAAAAAAAAGAATTAGAAACCAGTTTTTCTCGTGCAGATGTTATTGCCGACCCTGAAATAAAAGAAGATATCAAAATGCCACCAAGATATCCATGAACCTGAAAAAGTGTGGGAAATTTTACCACAATGGGTTCAAATGGCAAGTTTGGTGGAATTCATGTATCTGACACAAATGTACTAATCGACAACATTTGCAAAAATGACTGTGATCCAGAAACCTGTCCTCTAAAAACAACTTACAGAACCAAAAGGTAGTCCTTGCGATGTATCAACGAATGAGAGTGAAATATACGAAGAATGGGTGGAGAAAATATCACACACTACAACAGCCAATCTTGTAAACAGTTCTCCGAAAAAAGGTCCAGTTTTAATTATTGGAATTCCCGCTGCATAATGGTGACTCTCTTGATATTGATTCAGAAGAGGAGCCCTTTTCATCAAAAATCTAAACGAAAAGCGACATAAGTGACATAGAGTCACCTTAATCTAAAACTCAAGCTTCAAGGAGGACTCTCCCTATGTAACGGCCAACTCTGTGCCGTACGAAGACCTTCTGGACCCGGGGAGATGGTGCCATATTCTCCACATTGACTAGAAGGTCCCCGTATATTGAAGAGGGACTAGGTGACCTGTCTACCGATATTAGTTTGAAGGACAGCGAACGCAGTATGCTAGACTCGAGCATTCTTGACGTATCCGACTTAAAAACAGGCAGTATATCATTCAATGCAGGAGAAGGGGTAAGTGTCCTTTATTACTGAAAATGAATAACGTTTTAATCATCTAATCAGTCAAACTGTTTTGTATAATAAGAACAGAAGGAAAGAAAAAAACAAGTTTTGTGCTCCATTTCAGAACACATAACGAATAAGACATTACATCTTTATTGAACTATGTTGCTGTTAAATATAATATATATACAAGATAACTAAGAAATATACTCAGAAATACATTGAAAATCGTATGTTTGTGCTATTCTCAGTCCGATTTGAGCGAAAAGCGTTGCATCGCTTTTCAATACTGGGCCATTTTTTACAATTAGAATATTTTATTCGGAAGAACGGAGCGAGCTAATGATCTGCAAAGTATGCATATAAGTTATTGGTATAGACCTACATGAAATTGAGTAATAATCTTGGAAATATATTTCCAGGCCGTCATGTCAAAAACCTCAAGCAATAAAGACATTTAGTGTTACCCCTGTTCGTCCGTCTGTGTGTGAGTGCGTGTGTTCCAAAATATTGCGCGACCCATTAGTATTAACAATAAGACCTTACATCTTGTTTTGGACACTGCATTATGTAATAAGTCATTAAACCATATATAAATGCATATAATGTAACCCCTGTCCGTCCGTCTGGATGTGAGTGCGTGTGTCCGAAAACCTTGACCTCCCCTACCCATTACTCTATCATGCATCAAGGGATTCTGAAACATTATTGGCACATATGTCACATGATGAGACGGCGTGGCACGCGCAAGACCTAAACATCTAGTTCCAAGGTCAAGGTTACACTAAGAGTTCAAAGGTTAGCAGTTATAAAAAAACTGTTTTGAAGTTCTATCAAGAGCAATCTGTCTTCTTACTTCAAAAAGAAATGGAATTATTACATGCTTTTCGGTGGTTTATAGAAATATATCAGTGATATAAAACTGGTAATTTCACTGTTTGAAACAGTGAAATTACCACTTTGATAATTTCACTGTTTTGAATTTAAGCCCCTTACGTTGTTTCAGTGAAATACCAGCGTGCACAGTACTGGGAACCAACTTAATGACGTGACGTCGTAAATGACGTCACGTTGTATTATATTTGGCGCGCTTTTCATTCAGTATTAGGTTTAATGTCTTTTTAAAACGTTTCTTTGCATATAATAAAAAGAAAATTTGTTAAGTTTAGTGTAAGATCGAAATATATTTCACCTTGTGAACACCAAAAGTTCATATTTTACTCGTGGCTGCGCCACTCGTGAAATATACCTTTTGGTGCTCACTCGGTGAAATATATTCCGATCTTCCACTGAACTAAACAAATATCCTCTATTTAATGAAATACCAACTATGTTGGCCTGTCTTAACATCTGTATTCGTTGTCCTTACACATTTAGCGTGGGCACCCGTGTCTGTCAGACATATACATGTACTATTTTTGAAATTGAAATATTGATTGTGAAACTGTAATCTCAACTTCATTTTGTCATTAGTTAACCTTTTCCAATTGATATGATTGAATAAAATGTTAGCCAATTTAATATAAACTCTTAAGCTTATGTATGCATTAAACATGATATCAATAATCTTTTTTTAAAGGAAAAACATTGTCTTTCATTCTGATTCTGTTTTTTAAAGACTATTTGAATTGCTCTGTCTATATAGCAAATTGTAACATGTATATATATATTCTGAGAAATAGAATATGTTTAAACTAATAATCTCTTTATTAGTAAAATCATATTCCTTATATCTTACAGGTAATTGAAGTTGCAACTTTATTTGCATTGCAAACATTTTGGCGCATAGTTAAACACGCTTGGCAGGACGGAAATGCTGACCGAAATATCAACAACGTCTCAATACAAGAAAAAGAAAGCGGACTATACGTTATTAGGCAAAAGAATAAAAGCAAAGACTACCGATCACCTATTCGTACAACATACAAACGAAGGGCAGAAAAATTCTCAGAGAGTTAGATGATAATAATAATAATAGCACCGAAACTTTATTGTATTACGAAGTTACCAATACTTTACGCAAAGGCAAATTGCTCCAGCCATCAGCATTAAAGGGACAAAATAAACACAGAACAAACGAAGCTTTCAGCAAATGGAATGATTGTTGTCATCAATCGCAGAACTTAAGTAGGGAGACTGATTCGGGAGCAAAAGCTTAGACAAGATGCATCTGTTAATGACGAAGAACACATTGATAATCCGAATTTTAATAACAATGCTCGTCATAGTAAGAGAAAAAGAGGTCATACAAAACGACGTTCTGATAGCGGTAGTAAAGCCGATTGTGAGGAATGTGATTGTTCTGATGGCGGTGTACAAAAGAGAGGTCGCACCGTCTACAAAACGCGCGAAACTCTGGATAAATGCCATGCGAAGAAACATGACCAAGTCATCAACAGTGACATTTGTCCTGAAATAAATAGAGATACTCATAAAAGTCACGTTGCTAAGAAAAAACAAGTTGCTAAAAAAGGTCAAGGATCTTCAGCGCATAATCGAAAGAAACGGCGCAGGCGCAAACACACTTCAACGCAAAAGAGAAATATACCCAGTGACGTACAAGAAACAATAGATAGACTCACACGTGACTTAACTAATGCATCAATGAACGATCATATTGGTTATTATGTTGGTGATTCGAGCGATGACTTTGCAGACGACTCTTTCAGCTCATCTGATGAAAAATCCGGAATGCTTTGCCATTCGTTACATAAGAAAAGTACACAAACGCCTGCATATACGCAGATATGTAAAGAAGGTTTGCGAGTGTCAAGTGCTACATCATGTGACCAAAACAAGACGTGTTCTTGCAGAAACTGTAAACGTCATCAGGTGAATGATATCATACATAAACGGGAATCTCAGAGGCGTAATATTTGGGAGCTTAAAGAATACACGCACATTTCCAAAGATGACGTCACATCAAATATTCTTGCCTGGGCCTGGTCATGTGTCGAAAAGTTATAAAAAATTTGCATTTTGTAATTGTCTTTATACATTGTTTTGAAATAAAATATTCAAATTGCTAAATATTAAACAGTTAAGGTTGTTATTTTTGCCATCTGAACACGACAACTCTGTGCAAATAATTACAATGCAATATTATTATTCTAATTGGTGTTCAAACTAAGATGTGTGATGGTATTTTACAACAAGGACGTATAGCTCGTTCATACGGAATCGAAATTCTTTGATACCCACCATTTATAAATGATAACTTATCATTAAACTCACTATTTAGTCATGATAGTTTATTGATCATTAAGGTACCGGTACTACAAAGCAGTCACATGCAATGGTCTGCTTTTATGCAAGATATTTTACTTATCAAATCCATAAAATTATTTGATATAGTAATATTGGTAAAAATTCTGATTTCATAAAACTTTCCCTACTTAGCTGTACATTAGGTGATATTAGTGGAAAACCTTACTGGCCTCACATGTAAGTATTTTTGCTCATGCGCGCACGGACGGAATCCCCCAAAATTAAAAAGGTTACGTTTTTGACAACGCACAGATGGAAGTGATTTAAAATGAAAACTTTTTATACCTATTGAAAAACTAACACTTATATTTTGTCTCGTTTATGCATCTGCTTGATTTGATATCAATTTTTTGAAGAAAGCAAGTAAAAATCAAACGTTTAAAACGAAAAATACGGGTACTGCTTCTGTACGGGAATGCTCGCCATGCCAGTATAGTACTCGTGTTTTTTTTTTCATTTAGAAGTAAATTCATGAAGTATGCATCCGTAAATTTTAAAGAAAAAACTTGGTTTGCTTCAATTAAATTCTATATTAAAGTGCTCCTGAAAAAGTATGTCTCAGTCATTGTCTTGGCAACAATCTCGTAAGTGTATTGGCTGGCTGAAAATGTTGAAGTTGAGACCCAGACGCAGTCTTGTAGCCAACTGTGGCCGCTACAACTTGGATATGAAATAAAAACTTGTGTAGTCCCGCTTGGCTGCGTCCCTGAAAAGATATAATTATAGAGGAATATTCAAGTTTACTTCTATAAATACAGAATTTATTTTCATTGTGAACTATGAAAAATAAATAGCAGTAGCCACGAGTGAAATATGATAATGTTCATACCACACGATGAAAATAAATCCTGTATTTATAGAAAAAACTTGAATTTCTGTTGATTATATTCTTACAATGCATAAGAAGAGTTTCTTTTTTAATTTTGTTTATTGACTGAATTTATTAAGAAAGTAGTCCGTGAAGACACCAGTTTTAAAATACGGAAAATTATGTTTCACTGCAGTGAACATAATTTTTTACAGTGAAAATACAGAAAATTAAAATAGCATTTTATTTCATCAATATTTCTCAATAGTTCATCATAATAATATAATAAAATAAGATAGAACTTCTTATCCACGTCTATATATCTGTTTAATATGCACTTATTTTTGAAAGATAAACATACTATGTAATAGAACTACTTTAAAGGGCATCGGAAATTAAACTACACTTTTGATAATTTTCATGGAAAACATATACATGTTATTGCATATTTCTGAAGAAAAACATTTTAAATTCAATTTGAATCCTCCTTGATAAACTGAATAAATACTCACACATATTTTGAAGTGTACAAGAACTCGTACTTAACTGCGATACACAAGTAAAATAACTGCGCTTTAATATTTCCAATGATAAACTGCAGTTGATGTCCCTTTGTAGACACCATACATAATTTTATATTTAATTATGATGACCTAAATTATACGCCTTAAATCATTAAATATACTGTATTGAAAGAGTGTATGAATCAAATTATGCATGCGAACATAATATAAGTTAATGCAAATGGTTCAATAAATTCATAAACTCAGAAATGAATCTACGTGAATATAATATTCTTTTTTATCACATATCCAAAATAAGACCCTGTTGAAGTAATTTAGAATCGACGCGTTAATACTTTGCGCACCTAAACGCTATAATTATAATTTTGTTTAACGCAAATGACGTGACGTCCATATATATGCACGGTCATGAAAAATCGTTTTTACGGAACGGGTATGTACGGTGTTCCGTTTGGACACGTTTGGATAATCGTGACATTTTATTTATTCTGTACCCGCGATGCACGATGGTACGATGGTGAAAACGCGATGGCACGATGGTACGATGGTGAAAACACGATGGTACGATGGTGAAATCACGATGGTACGATGGTGAAATCGCGATGGCGCGATAGTACGATGGTGAAAACGCAATGTTACATCGCGTTTTCACCATCGTACCATCGTGATTTCACCATCGTACCATCGCGTTTTCACCATCGTACCATCGCACCATCGCGCTATCGTGTTTTCACCATCGTGCCATCGCGCTTTCACCATCGTACCATCGCGATTTCACCATCGTACCATCCCGATTTCACCATCGTACCATCGCGTTTTCACCATCGTACCATCGCGTTTTCACCATCGTGCCATCGCCGTCCGGTGGACATGCGCATTGTACATCTTTATCAACAATGGATGAATGCATAACTACGGTGTTCCGTTTGGACACGTTTGGACAATCGTGACATTTTATTTATTCTGTACCCGCGATGCACGATGGTACGATTGTGAAAACGCGATGGCACGCTGGTACGATGGTGAAAACACGATGGTACGATGGTGAAATCACGATGGTACGATGGTGAAATCGCGATGGCGCGATAGTACGATAGTGAAAACGCGATGTTACATCGCGTTTTCACCATCGTACCATCGTGATTTCACCATCGTACCATCGCGTTTCCACCATCGTACCATCGCGTTTTCACCATCGTACCATCGCGTTTTCACCATCGTACCATCGCGATTTCACCATCGTACCATCGCAATTTCACCATCGTACCATCGCGATTTCGCACCATCGTACCATCGCGTTTTTCACCATCGTTACCATCGCGTTTTTTTTCACCATCGTGACCATCGCCCTTCCGGTGGACATGCGCATTGTACATCTTTATCACAATGGATGAATGCATAACTATATATTATGTGAGAGGCTATACGTAATCGAGACATTTTTAAATATAAGTGAGGCTTAAAACGGGATTTGATCTCAGCACAGACTATTAAATAAGAGTTTTGTATTAAGAAATTCAATCATTATAAAACCTTTATGCACTGTGCTTTATTCATCTTGTCTAGATATCTATAACACAAATTTTTTTAAAGGTTTTTATATCATAAATATGATGCCTCAAATTAAGATAAGTTCCAAAAAGCATTATTTGTAAAGATGTTACCGAATTTAAACATTTCATGTAAATAAAGGGAGGTAAATAAAAATTTATTTTCTGTAAAGTCTAAGTCAAATTTTTCAATAAGATAATGAATGCATATATTTTAATGATTACATATAATAATGTAAATAAATATTTTGCAGTACATATTTACATATTCTCGGATGTTTGAAAATTGTTTTATATTAAAGCATTATTATATAAATATATATAATTTCACTGAAGTGTGGTGTTAGCTCAACAGGTACAGCGTTGGACAGTGAATCGGGCGATCGGGTTGGATTCCCCCCGACGGGTGCAGGTTCATTTTCGTTGTGATTGATCATGAAATCCTTTCTACCGGTCATTGACACTGGTGCTCTGCTCTGCAGAAGTTTCAGTTCCTTGCGAAAGTGAAGGCAACTAGTACTGGTAAACTGCTTTGACAAGCCTGCCAGGAAAAATGCTGTGGTTGAACTGTGCTCTTGTGAATTCAATGTGGCTTACTGTCTCAATGATCGGAAGTGAAAACTATCACCACAACCCACCACGGTGTACAACCTCAATTACAACATTCCCAAAATCTTTAGAACGGTACAAAATTGTCTTTTGGTATAGCTGTCATGTTTTTTTTTTTCAATTATTCTTGCTTGGATATGGAAGAATGAAAAATCACAATTACGTTCAGGTATTAGAAAGTAAATTATTAAAAACCAAAATGAAAATAAAAGGAAAAATTAAAGAAAATACTGAGCCAGAAAAATGATGCATCAAGAGCTCATACATATAGATAAGATATTCTATTTCCCGAGACTATTAGAATGTGTATGCCTTAAAGTGAGAAATGTTTGCCCTTGACCTGGTCCGATTGGGAATTTAAAGCCAAAGAATATTATATTACTATGGAAGATTAAATTATTACTGCAAAAAATTGTAAATTCGGCGCTATTATCCGAGCATAGGTTCCAGTGCCAGACCTGGGGATTGATCAGTAATTTACTTAATTACAATTACTTTCAGATTTTATTGTTATAGATTATGATTGAATTCTCAGATTTGCCTCTGTAATCAATTAAATAACAAAAGAACAGAAGAAAAACGTTGTTTTACTTTGATTTGTACATAAATGTATTACATTATCAGAAAAGTACAGAACATCAACTCAAGTTACATATAATATAAACACATGAGTATACATAACAGTGGTGAATATTTGTTAATTTTAACACATGACATGATATTATTTTTAAGGTATTTGTAAGAGGAAAATAAAATAATTATCATGAGAAATGAAAAAGAAAAAACAAACAAACAGCTACCGCCCTGAGATATCATGATTTTCATGATACATTGATCAAAATGTATAAACCATAACATTTTCAATACTTATATTCAATTAAAATGATAACAAAGTTTAAAGTCACAACGTCACGTTACATTTATCCGGTTTCATCCGAGACCCACATATGGCCCCTTGTTTGTCTTCTGCGTACATATTCAACGATCATGTCTTGAGGCAAATTAAAAAAATAATCGTGATATAAAAATAAAATGTATTTTCAGTACAGATATTGCGACGGATATTCCAATCTGAACCGCAACAACACATGACAGATATCATATATAAGATAAGATATTTGTACATGGAAATTAATATCATTCCACCATAACTTTTTTTCTTACAATAGGCGTATGAATTTACAACTTTATTAACAACGGCGAAATCACGTCATGCTAAGCACATAGTTCCCTTCTAAAATTCGAAATGACGTAATTTTTAGCGCGTACTTCATAATATGCGCTAAAAATGATGTTTGTTGTATGACAGGCGACTTATCTGGCATCCTCCATGCCAGATGAAATTTCCAGCATGAGTAAAACTAACGGAAACGCCAGTCTGCTATGCAAAAATATACATAAAACCCAAAACCAAAAACACCACACATACACAAAAATATGAGAGCAGGATAAAGGACCGATATTTGATAATTCTATAAGCTTAACCAGACCGCTTATGGATTACAGTAAGGATTTTTGCCGTTGTTTTAATTTGTGCATTCAAAATAGCAATTAAACACCACTTTAACGAAAAAAGAAGAACTCAAAGAAATGTTGATGTTTTATTTTTTATTCAAATTTTTACAGGATACAGTATTCTTTGTAAAATGTTCACGTTATTCTTTATTAACAAAATTAATTTATTCCCAAAAAACAGTATAGTTTTGCATAACTTGTGTATCCGACAAGACTCTTACTGCCATCTTAAGCTTTTAAATAGATAAAGAAAGAATGTATACTGTACCTGTATCGCTGCTTCAATCTGGCCGAACTCCAATGGTTGTCTTCTTTTCCATGTTTTCAAACCTAATCTCTTTTAAGTGTCCTTTCAGTTGACGAAAACTGAAACAAAATGTCGCAATATCTGTACTGAAAATACATTTTATTTTTATATCACGATTATTTTTTTTAATTTGCCTCAAAGACATGATCGTTGAATATGTACGCAGAAGACAAACAAGGGCCTATGTTGGGTCTCGGATGAAACCGGATAAATGTAACGTGACGTTGACTTTAAACTTTGTTATCATTAATTGAATATAAGTATTGAAAATGTATGGTTTATACATTTTGATCAATGTATTATGAAAATCATAAATATCTTCAGGCGGTAGCTGTTTGTTTGTTTTTTCTTTTTTCATTTCTCATGATAATTATTTATTTTCCTCTTACAAATACCTTAAAAATAATATCATGTCATGTGTTAAAATTAACAAATATTTCACCACTGTTATGTATACTCATGTGTTTATATTATATGTAACTTGAGTTAATGTTCTGTACTTTTCTGATAATGTACTACATTTATGTACAAATCAAAGTAAAATAACGTTTTTCTTCTGTTCTGTTATGTTATTTAATTGATTACAGAGGCAAATCTAAGAATTCAATCATAATCTATAACAAATAAAATCTGAAAGTAATTGTAATTAAGTAAACTACTGATCAATCCCCAGGTCTGGCACTGGAACCTATGCTCGGATTATAGCGCCGAATTTACAATTTTTGCAGTAATAATTAATCTTCCATAGTAATATAATATTCTTTGGCTTTAAATTCCAATCGGACCAGGTCAAGGGCAAACATTTCTCACTTTAAGGCATACACATTCTAATAGTCTCGGGAAATAGAATTATCTTATCTATATGTATGAGCTCTTGATGCATCATTTTCTGGCTCAGTATTTTCTTTAATTTTCCTTTTTATTTTCATTTGTTTTATAATTTACTTTCTAATACCTGAACGTATTGTGATTTTTCATTCTTCCATATCCAAGCAAGAATAATTGAAAAAAAAAAACACATGACAGCTATACCAAAAGACAATTTTGTACCGTTCTAAAGATTTTGTATGTTGTAATTGAGGTTTGTACACCGTGGTGGTTGTGGTTATAGTTTTCACTTCCGATCATGACAGTAAGCCCACATTGAATTCACAAGAGCACCAGTTCAAACCACAGCATTTTCCTGGGCAGGCTGTCAAGCAGTTTACCAGTACTAGTTGCCTTCACTTTCGCAAGGAACTGAAACTTCTGCAGAGCAGAGACCAGTGTCAATGACCGTAGAAAAGGATTTTCATGATCAATCACAACGAAAGTGACCTGCACCAGTCGGGGGAAATCCAACCCGATCGCCCGATTTCACAGTCCAACGCTGTACCTGTTGAGCTAACACCACACTTCAGTGAAATTATATATATTTATATAATAATGCTTTAATATAAAACAAGTTTCAAACATCGAGAATATGTAAAAATATGTACTGCAAATATTTATACATATTATATGTAATCATTAAAATATATGTATTCATTTCTTATTGAAAAATTTGACATAGACTTTACAGAAAATAAATTTTTATTACCTCCCTTTATTTACATGAAATGTTACATTCGGTAACATCTTTACAAATAATGCTTTTTGGAACTTTTCTTAATTTGAGCATCATATTTATGATATAAAACCTTAAAAAAATTGTGTTATAGATATCTAGACAAGATGAATTAAGCACAGTGCATAAAGGTTTTATAATGATTGAATCTTAATACACAACACTTATTAAATAGTCTGTGCTGAGATCAAATCCCGTTTTAAGCCTCACTATATTTAAAATGTCTCGATTTCGTAAAACCCCTCACTTAAAACATAGTTTTTGCAATTCATTCCTTGGGTTTATAAAATGTACAATGCGGGAAAGTCCACCGAAAGGCGATGGCACGATGGTGAAAACGCGATGGTACGATGGTGAAAACGTGATGGTACGATGGTGAAATCGCGATGGTACGATGGTGAAATCGCGATGGTACGATGGTGAAATCGCGATGGTACGATGGTGAAAGCGCGATGGCACGATGGTGAAAACACGATAGCACGATGGTGCGATGGTACGATGGTGAAAACGCGATGGTACGATGGTGAAATCACGATGGTACGATGGTGAAAACGCGATGTAACATCGCGTTTTCACCATCGTACTATCGCGCCATCGTGATTTCACCATCGTACCATCGTGATTTCACCATCGTACCATCGTGTTTTCACCATCGTACCATCGTGCCATCGCGTTTTCACCATCGTACCATCGTGCATCGCGGGTACAGAATAAATAAAATGTCACGATTGTCAAAACGTGTCCAAACGGAACACCGTAGGTATGTGATAAATTATTCTGAGTACAAATATGTGCAAAGAATGTGCTGCCTTACAGTGAAAAAAATATACAGAAGTATAATGTACGGTGGCTGGTTAAAATTTCAATTAATTATAAACAAAAAGATTTCTTTACAAATAAATACCGTTAGCATGAAATGTATATCTGGGACTGGATAAACGGTGTTCATTCTTATTTCTATCAACATCCCAACAGTCAGCCGAACCTTAACATTTTCTGGTTTACCTGATATATATAAAATATGCAAGTGATATTAGTACAAGCATGTACTTAGTTCATAGTTTCTTTCCAATTATTTCAAAGTTTATATCAAAGTGGAAAGTTCTGTTATTATATTTATGCATATATAGTGATTTAGCTACATACGCTTGGACACAATACTATACGCTACCTAATAAGAACGTCTTATTAGAGTTATCTAGATCTACATTGAAAATAAAATCTTGAATAAATAAAGTATACTAAAATAACCTTCATGCATTTTTAAAATAACCTTTATGTATTTCTCAAAAGTTTCTTAAAATATTATAATATTCAATTCTTTTTTAACATTTTAAATTATGACAAAAACATAAACTTGTACTTACATTCAACCAGGAATTCTACCCCAGCCGATTGATATTTGTCCACCCCGCACCTATAAATCCCGGCCGCCATATTGTCAGCCCCGCTGATTATCAAGGAGAACCACCCGTTGATTTCCTCCCTTATAGAAAGACGACCAGAAGGGCCTATTTGTGTCCCATTTTCCATGATGATTTCCCAAACATCCCCAATTTTCCTGCTCCATGTTCTCGTGGTCAGAGGCGTGTCACAGTAATGGCACGTCAAAACTGTATCCCCTCTACAGTTTGCAATCGCCGGTGCTTCTAGCCACACCCGAGAGTCAACTGATTGTTTAGAAAAGGCAAATAATAACGCATCGATATGTATAAATAGTAATTTTTAACAATTTTTGGTCTTTTATATTACAATTAATTACCAATTCTTTCAATTGTAACCTAATAGCCTTTCCCGGTCTTTTCCCGTCAAATTTCGGTAAATTATGACAAGGGTACAGTCTGCTCGACAAATGATTATTCAAAACAACAACAACAACAAACTTCATTTTGCTTTGTGATTTGACCTTGTTTTTACTTTTAAATATGTACTGTATACGTAGTAAACTTCTTAATCACTAAGACCAGACCAGTATCGTATTTTCAATTAGTAGAAAAATTTATCAGTTTAAATCATTTATTCATTTTTCTTATTTTGATTTTAATTTGTGTGAGTAGAACATGATTGTGTTCAATGCATGTATCAACTGTAAAACTGGAAGCAGATAAAGTGCGTGCGCATCAACATCGAATGAACCTTGCTATGTACAGGCGTTTCTTTTCGTAAGAGTTATAATCGTAAATGTATTTTTTGTCTTAAATAGTGGCTTTCTGAAAATGACTTAAGTACTGTTTTTACTATTATTTATATAATTACTACATATTTGATTACGATATACATATTCATTCATGGTGTCGTTTTATCAACATTAGCTACAATTTGGACGATTACGTCGCGTAACATTGTCGCAGCATAGACGTCGTGAATTACGACCGTCTTTGTTGAGAACACGACACCTTGCTACATTTGCAACAAAACTATGCAATTTTTTGTGTATAGGAGAAAACAACTTAATCCACGTTTGTTTTATTAAATGTAATTTTTGAAATCAACAAATTTGAGAATCATACTCCGTGTTGCAAGCTTTCTATACTGTCATGCAACTAGGACACACTTATGCTAATTTAATTAACATTTACACAACTTCTAAATGACGAATGACAAAATTTAAAACTGTTTACCAGCATGAGATAAGTTATGCAGTAAAACAGTCACAAAACTTTCTGACCTATATTTTAGAATAAACACAAAAACATGCATGTATATGTATAAATGAAAACAGAACGTAGTGATGTTTTCCCTTCATAAAATGATAATTGTTCATACATATGAAAACTATTAGAGGTTGACAGATTGCGAATGTTCAATATTATAATCAATTAACAAATAACATGTATAGCAGACAAGTTCTTAAATACACTGCAACATTTAATATGTTTCTTGCCAAAAAGAGGGACGAAATATTTACGGAAATTAGTTACAGATCAACATACGAAATATCTATAAAACATAGCCCGAGTCTTTACATCTTAAGAAAAGAATATATTAAACAGAACGAAATAGACTATAAGGTCTTGTTGGCTCAATTGCTTGAGCGTTGGACGGTAAATTAGGCGAACTGGCTTCAGTTCTCGGACGGGGCAGGTCACTTTCGTTGTAATTGATCTTAAAATCATTTCTACGGACATGTTCTTCTGCATTCTAAAAATAACCAGTGCTGCCCTTAAAGTTATAAAATATTTTCCGAGTTCTGTCTCAAATCTCAGGCATTGATTGATCAGTGCACATTCTTTGTCAGTTTATGTCTATTCTAATATCTGGTAACTGCCACTAGGCCACTGCCACATATAGCTTCAAAAACTAGTATATCTCAGTGCCTTTTTACCCATAATGTTATATCGAGAGTTTAAACTGATGTTATAAGAAATTATATTTGCCAATGTTGCATGATGTTGCCTGTTCATTAAAATGTGTCTCATCATCATCATCACCATCATCATCATTATCAATATCGTCATCATCATCAACATCACCAACAACAACAACGACGACAACAACAATACATAATCATCATCTTCATCATCATCGTCAACAAAAACATCATCATCATCATTATCGTCGACAATAACAACAACAACAACAATAGCATCAGCAGCAATAAAAACATA